GTCAAAAACCAATATGGCGACCTTAAGAAATTGAAAAGTTGACTATCTGGAGGGCCTTGAATTTTTTGACAATGCCATTAAATTGACATCGGTCAAAAATACTAAGCCATCAAGTTTCATCAACATAGCTAGAATGATTAAAGAACAATGAATTATAATAAAAAATCAGTTTTCAGGTTTTCCTCAATAAATCAAAAACCAACCAAGATTTTTAAATTTAACATTCCCTTTATAATTTATAGTTTCCGAAATTTTCACCACCCTGTATATACAAAATGTTAGTATTTTTTCGACAAATAGCAACACTTTATTTTTATTTCTTTGGACGATTTAAGAAAAATCTAAGAGGGTTGTTATGAAAACAAAATAAATACAGTGTGTCGACGGATGGACTTATACATTTTTTATTTTCAATTCAAAAACTATTTAAAAAAATTTAATATTGAAAATCTGTATTTTTACTCACCCTGTAAAACAAAATGGAAGTTTCTCAATGTGAATCGTATTTATGTAACAAGCCAAAAAAATTATAAAAATGAGTTTTTTTCGAAAAATTGAAAATAAATATTTTTACATTTTTTTTAAGTACCTATAGGTAGAGTAACTCTGTAGAGTAACTCAGTGTGGACTTAACTCTACTAGAGTTAAGTCCACACTGTATATTGTATACAACGAATCCACAGCGAATGGTTGACAGATGTATTTTCTGCCAGTTCCTGTTTATTTATGAAACTTCATTAAAAACTTTATCGCAATAGTGGCAAAAAATACATTTTATGGAAATATTGAAAATTTTAGTAAAATATTTAATAGTTTTGAATTTTTGAACTTCAGGCCTTGACTAAAAAGCCATAAAGCCACAATTGTCAATGTGCATTTAAAAGATCACTTACTGTTATGGAAACTAGTACAATAGTGGGAGTGAAATACTTTTTATATTTACAAAATTTTCATAAAAGTAAAAAAGCTCGTGCTTGTAATTTTCGTAGCTGGTGCCATAAAGTCATTCTTATACACTTGTTTTATAATATACTAGCTATTTTAACACGATTTTTCATTTCGTAGCTAAACCTACTTGACAGAATATACAATTATCATTTTATATAAATTAAACTTTAAACGTTAATTAACCTATAAACGCTCACTTACATTTCTAAATTTACGCATCAAAGCTTTTTTGTAGTGCGTTTAATTTTCTACAAAAATATGTATTTACCATTATTTTTTGTGTATTCGGCGACTTTCAATTTAAAAACAAAAAATGCCCCAATATATAGTGTACATGTAAATGGTACTTTTGGGATTTTTAAAAGAATATATTATTATTTAGAACCTGTAAATTCACACCTAACTAAATGTACATTTATTTATTTATTATAGAAATCATTTTGCTTCGTTCAATAAATCGTTTTATTATTTTACAGTCGAATGGATATGAAACTAATTTCATCGTGTTTTGTAATGACAAGACTTTCAACAAATCTTATTTTTATCAAATTATGTTGAATGAAGTAGAAATTATAGTTGACAAAATAGGCGAGAAAAAAAACGTAATAAAAATTGTGCAATTGAGAAACGAGAAATCACTACTTTGTAATGCTTAAAGTTTCTAAAATAATAGATTAATTAAGTCAGTAAAGTTAGTAAACAACTAATTTTATTAAATAATTTAGTAAAATACAGTTAAATTATAATTGTTTCCAAGTATCTTAAAAGTTAAGTAATGTACAAAATTTTCTTGAAACTCATTCAATTAAGCACTTGCTCGCTCGTGCCTAAATTAAATTCGTGACTAAAATAGCGTTTATTAAACTTGATACATAATATTTTATTTTACCCTAAAGTAAATTTTACTCATAGGTAAGTCATTTACGAGGTGTGTTCAGAAAATATAGGGAATTTTCGTTTTTTGAAACAAATATTTAATTATTCGTCTACATTAATGTTGTCGCCTTCAAAATAGTCCCCATTGGATATTATGCACATGTGCCAGCTCTTCTTCCAATACTCGAAACACTTCATGCGCTTTTAATGTCATCTATGCTTGCAAAACGACGGCCCTTTAAGGTTCTCTTTATTTTTGGTAATAGGAAAAAGTCAGACAGAGGCATGTCTGGCCAATATGGAGGCTGGGGCATCATTACCGTATTATTTTTGGCCAAAAATGTTGTTCAAAATTTAACAATTTTGGAACAAATTTTGCTGCCACGCGTTTCATACCCAAAACATTCGAAAAAATTTCATGGGATGAGCCAATCGATATACCAACATCATCAGCGACTTCTCTGATGGTTTATAACCATTTCTTCCACTTTTTCCATGTTTTTATCGGTTGTTAATGCGCTTGTGCGTTCGGGGCGTTCGTCATCTTCAACGTCTTCACGGCCATCTTGGAAACTCTTATACCATGGTAGTGCACTTGTAAACTCTTGTTTTACTTATAGCAGACTTACTATAGGCCTTTGTTAACATTTTACAGAATTTATTTAATTTTTTAAGCAAAATTAAATACAAATTCTTTGATCCGTTTCGAACGAAAAATCGCCGAGCTCATAAAACACGTCTAACCTTAGCGGCTGCCACAGACAAAGTAAACAATGAAAACAGCTAAAGTTTTATCATACTTCGGGGCATATATACCAACATAATTAGGAAAATTGTATGACAACCGGACCCTCCGAACCCGCGAAATTTAACAATTCCCGTTATTTTCTGAACACACCTCTTAAGTTAAAGAGACAAAGAAAATATAAATGTTAAAGGTTTAGAAAGAGAGAATAGAAGTAATTTTAACGTTAACATGTGGTGTTGATAAGTTGTACAGGTAATTTTCCGTATTTGTACCGTCACTTTTAGTCACTTTTAACAGTAGGTAAATTATTAATTTATTGTGTCTAAAATAATTTTAAGTTGATTTCAGGAAAAAATTTTATGTTTACACTTTTTATAATTTTATAAGAATACACCTTTTAGTTAAATTCAGAAAAAATAATGATTTTAAACATTTAACTAAAATGATTTTAAACATTTAACTAAAATAATACTACCTACATACGTATACACTATAGTGTTTTGAATTTATTGTCCATAAATAAAATTATTTATGTAAAATTTTAATTTGAAAAATTATGTTAGAAAAATAATGACAATAAATATTGTCATTATTTTTCTAACATAATTTTTCAAATGCACATTCTAAAAGCCATTTTAAATTATTTATTGAACATTTTAATTTATTTTGACACGTTTTGGTACTTGATATTTTAATTAAAATTTGTATAAAAAATAAATTAATTAATGTTTATGACCATACAGAGTTTTTAAGAATTAAACTGCCACCATATTTCCAGGTAATGTTGCCATTTAACGAAAATATGTATCTTTTAAAATAATAATGTTTTTTTTACCATTTTCTGGGATTTTGGGGGTCTGCAGATTAAACACCTTTATGGTGGTGCGCGATTTTTGTGACAACCTGTATAGTCTTTCATGATAAACAAAAGAATATTTTATTTTTTTCTATTATTCAAATGTAATTTTACAAAATTAAACTTTACAGACTTTCTATTATCTCAAAAACGAAGCCTGATGGAATTTTTTCTTTTTTTCTTTTAATTAAAATCTAGTTAACTGCACGACTAGATTTAACTGAAACTGACATTTGGTATTATTTGAAAGGCACTTTATTTTAACGATTTCATGACATTTGACAACTGTCAAAACTAACTTCAGCTCGCGACTAAAAACCTGTTGCTAATTTCAACCCGTAACTAAAGCGCCATAAAGCCACAGCTTGTTAGTTTGTACTTATTTAAAAGGTCACTTAGTGTCATGGAAACATGTGGAAAAAAATTATTACTTAGGAGTAAAATTTGGTTTACGAACTTTATAGATATTAAAGAAAGTAAAAAAATCACAATAAAAACTAATCATATTACTTGACAAGAATTTTTAGTTTAATGTTTTTAATGTTAATTTAACCAACATATTTACTTAAATTAAGTAATAAATCCGCAATGCACGACTATTTTACTTAAAACGTTGCTACCTAATAAGCTCGTTCTTATCATATTTAAGCGCAGTAACGAGCCAGGGCTGTCCAAACTGAAAATAACACGCGAGTTCTTTTGCCGCGGCAAATGGGCAATGATTTAATAACAATATTTTTTTACAAATTTAAGTGCAAAAAAATAATATAATTTTTAATGTAATATTTTCATTACAAGTTGGCATGAGGATAACCTTCAAAATTTTATGTTTTTATATAAAAACTCGGTTTACGCAAAATATTTTTTTTCATAAAAAATCACGAAAAATAGGTAAACAATTATAAAAATATTTTTTAAATCCAAAAAAATCGATAGAAATATGATATTACCTTCTGTCTTCAAATTAACGTTAATTTATATAAAACCCATGTTTTAAATTGAATTTATTTCTTATTTATTGTGTATATTATGCTTGATATCACTGAAATTTATCAGTATACGTCCTTTATATGCAATGGTAGCCTGATAAATATGTTATTTTTAGATTTTAACGAAAAACTTAACAGGTTATGAACTAATATAAATTAATTGTAAAGGAAACAAATATATTTTATTAAATTTGGTAAAAATGGCATTTTTGTGGCCCAAATAACGAGAAAAAAATTACTTGGTGTTGGATTTTTGTTAAATAACACAAAATGAGTTCATTTGAAAAAGCTAATCCAGACCAAAGTGCATCAACACAGCACATACTATAATAGAAGTAATATCAAAAATGTATTAAAAAAATCACAACCAATCAACAGGAAATTCTTTAATAAAAAAAAACTAACCGTTAATATTTTATTAATTTCAGATCCTCAGATCAAGTCCTTCCGAGAAACCACCGTTACTGCTTTGCTTTTCAAGGATAGAGCGATCGCGATTGACATTTTGGCCGGAAGTGTTGTGTAACAGTGGACATTTTTTAGAGTGCTTTGACTTTATTTTTTTGTTCACGTTCGATTTTTAATGCATCTTCCAGCAAGTTTGGCCACTTGTAACGTTTCCGAGGAAGCGTTCCTTCCCAGAGCCACCATGAATGAACATTTACCAGGTGGGTACCAAAAGCAATTGTTTTGATATATTTTCGGACATTTTTCCATTATATCATTAAAAAAGTATGGAATCATGAACAACCATACGGATATTAAGTAGGCACTAATGCAACTAAAATGTACCCAAAAGTTTTGAAAAAATTTAATTTGTTATTACTTATTTTTACAATTAAATATTTTGGTGATAATTAAACTGCTCGTCATAAAAATCGACGCACCTAGTTTTTTGTAAAATATTTGAAAGATCGTTATTGGAAAATTACTGAATCGATTTTGAAAATCTTTGGAAATTCTGAATAGGTGATTCTTTGACTCTTATGTCTAATTTTGGGAATACGATATTTTGCACATAACATTATACTACAGGGTGTTAAACGAACAGATGTATTTTTTCCGAAATTTCAAGTTATTCCCATTCATGAGGCAGTTGAGTTTGATAGTCGTAATACCCCTCCCTACTATAAGTAAGGTAATCCCTCGGAACGTTTTCTAGATTTTGTGAATATCGCGGCTTACTACGATTATATGCCAATTTTTCGAAAATTGTCGTTATTTCCCAGTTTAGTCCAAAAAATGAGCAATAGTAGATTCTTTGACGTCTAATTTGGAGAATACGATATTGTGGACATAGCATTATACTACAGGGTGCTAAAAAAAGAGATGTTTTTTCCAAAATTCCAAATCACCATTCACAGGGCAGTTGAGCTTCATAATACCCCTTCCTAATAACAGGAAAATTTTCGAGATTTTGTGAATGTCTTGGATAACTCCGATTATATGGCAATTTTTCGAAAATTCACGTTATTCTTCACTTAAGTCCCAAAAATGACCTTACTCATATTAGGAGTATTACGACTATCAAACTCAACTGCCTCATGAATGAAAACTTGAAATTTCGGAAAAAATACATCTCCTCGTTTAACACCCTGTAGTATAATGCTATGTGCAAAATATCGTATTCCCAAAATTAGACATAAGAGTCAAAGAATCAGCTATTCAGAATTTCCAAATATATTCAAAATCGATTCAGTAATTTCCCAATAACGAGCTTTGAAATATTTTCCAAAAAACTAGGTGCGTCGATTTTTATGACGAGCAGTTTATTTACAAAATTAATTACAATAGGTAAGAAAAATTCTTAAAATTGTTGAGTTAGTTGAACTTAGACAACAATAGACAATTCAAAAAAAATATTGAAGTATTTTTTTATAACCTTTTATAAAGAAATTAAATTATAAAAAAATATATTTTGAAATTTTTATTTTCTATATTTCTTATTTTTTTAAAGCGCATTTAAAATATGAAAGTATTATGTGCTATTTCTAAAATCGTTTAAGAACAAATCTTGAAATAGACAATGTTTTGACTTTCCAAAATAGATTTTTTCTACTCCTACCTTAAAACGCCCTTTATCGTACATGTGTGAACTTTTAAATACACATTGACAAGTTGTGGCTGTATGGCGCTTTAGTCACGGGCTGAAGTTAGCAACAGGTTTTTAGTCACGGGCTGAAGTTTTTAAGTTAGTTGACAGTTGTCAAATGTCATACAATCGTTAAAATAAATTGCTTTTCTTGTAAAATAATACTAAATGTGAAAATTATTTTATTATCTCGATAAAAAAATACAAAAGTATTAAATAGTTTCTCAACGCCAATATTTGAAAAGTTTATATGAACATTGTACTGACCTTTTAATTTCGCCGGCAGTAAACTATAACTTAAATTCGGGCACGGACTCAACTGTAAAGTGCTCATAAAACATTTTCTTAACTTTCACTGTGAAAAACTGTCAATTTTCAAGAAATACATTTCTATTTATAACCTTTATAATTGTGTTTATAAAATATAAAAATTTGAGATTTGACGGTGACACACAGATTTCCCTATTGTTTCATAGATGGCGCTCTATACAATTTTTTGATTTAAATCATTTTAAGATAATAATAAGTATTTGGCGTAGAAAAAGTATAGTATGCACCTCGTTTATAAACTTTTCTATACACTCATTGATTTAATTAAATCATTCAATTAAATTATTGTTTAAAATGGCGTTTATCAAACTTGATACATAATATACTACACTCACAGGCAAAATAATCGATCCACACAAATTGTCGATGAATTTCAATCGCAAATAACTTTTTTATTTGATTTCGGATTTAAACAAATATTAAAGAATATTGTAGATACATTAATGGAGAATCGCACACATTTTAAAAAATTACTAAAATATACACGTACGTTTATAATATACAGGTTTAAACAAAAAGATGTTTTTTACCATAAGTTTAAGACACTGTAGAGTGGCAAAACCGTATATTGTTCTAAATTAAGTTTTAATTATCAAGTCACATCTATTTTTAACAGTTTTGTTTTTGGTTCACCTTGATATATTTATTTTTGTGGAAAATATGGATTTTTTTTAAAAAACATTGCAATTTTCAATATTTTTCCTGTATGAGGAACTAAGGTTGCTATGGTCCATCCATAGGATGATAGTGACAGTTTTGTTGAATCATCCCATACTTGGATATGTCATATACAGCTTTCAAAAGCAATCAAATTGTTTTTTGTAAATTAATGTGTTAATTTTGAGGTGTCTTCTTACTTTTAAAAATGTCTCCGACTGATGTTGCCCTTTGTACTTTACTTCTTGCGACGTTTAAAACACTTGCCACGTAATACTGTGACCGTCCATCCTGGATTAAATTAATGGCTCTGGCAACATCAGTCGGGGACATATCCATTTTTTAAAGTGAGAAGACACCTCAAAATTTAAACATTAATTTGCAAAAAACAATTTGATAGCTTTTGAAAGCCGTGTATGACATGTCCAAGTATGGGATGATTCAACAAAACTGTCACTGTCATCCTCCATAGGCTATGGATGGACCATAGCAACTTTAGTTCTTCATACAGGAAAAATATTGGAAATTGCAATGTTTTTTAAAAAATCCATATTTTCCACAAAAATAAATATATCGAGGCGAACCAAAAACAAAACTGTTAAGAATAGATGTGACTTGATAAATAAAACTTAATTTAGAACAATATACGGTTTTGCCACTCTACAGAGTGTCTTAAACTTATGGTAAAAAATATTTTCACTAGTAAAATTAAAAAAAAAAAAATATTTTCAAAACATTTCCTATAAAATATGGAAATTGGGATAAAAATTGTTAAACCATCGTATTTTTGCAGGATATTCCTCCCAGGTCTACAACATGCTGGACTACCAAACTCTGAACATACAAAAGGAACACCAACCGGGCGAGTTGGTGAGGACGAACAGTCCGTTTTTCCTGTGCTCCACGATCCCCAACCACTGGCGTTCGAACAAGGCCCTTCCGTCGGCCTTCAAGGTGGTAGCCCTGTCCGAAGTGACCGACGGAACGAAGGTCTACGTGTACGCGGGCAACGACGAAAACTACAGCGCGGAAATGCGAAATTGCTGCGCCGAGATGAAGCAACAGGTTGCCAGATTCAACGATCTTCGGTTCGTCGGAAGAAGCGGCCGAGGTGAGTGATGTCGACCAATTAGAAACGCCGTTAAAAACGATTTTTTTGACAAAATTGTCAACCCCTTTTTTCTATTTAATTTTAGTGAAATTTTAAATACACATGTCAAGCTGTGGCTTTATGGCAATATACATATTATCTCAATACAAAACTATAGTATACTAAAGTATTAAATAGTTTATAATGCCAATATTTGAAAAAAAAGTCACTGTGAAATACCCCCGCAGAAAGTACAGAGACATCTTAAAGATGACATCTTTTAGACGTCTTTAAGATACCTAATGTTAAAAAACACATCCCAGATAGCACCATTCGTCCAATGGACGTCCGTTTAAGATCCATTTTAAGTACATTGGTCCACGGACTAAAAATGGATGTACTATGTACGTCCATATATTTACATCCTTTGTACGATTTTAATGGACGTCCATATAGTGTCCATTTCACGTCCATAATTATTATTACAGAAATGCAAGTTAAAACGTATTGTTGGCTGCATATCAACAGTTGAGGAGCGTTTATTCAAAAAGGGACATGTCCATTTTAGCGATTTTCAGAAATAAGTCAAAAGCAAAAGAATTCTGTTATTTTTGACTTGTTTCTGCAAATCGCTAAAATGGACATGTCCCTTTTTGAATAAACGCTCCTCAGTTATGATCAATCTCACTGACATTCAAGCAAGCGCGTGCTATAAAGGACTTAAGCTATCAATGAAATGTTAAACACTTGTAGTATTGCAAATGTAATGTTCCTGAGTCGAATACAAGGATTTCCTGCAATGTTCAACATTGAATGTTGTAACTTTTAACAACTTTTAGAATATTTATATTCCTAGTGGGATTGTTACTGAGCCAGACAAAAGGCATTTCAGTCATGTTGTAGAAAATTTTCTGCAACATCGCAATGAAAATACAGTCGCAAAAAACAGTTAAAGTAAGCAAAAAAGCAGGTCCTGGATGCTGGAGGAATGGTTCAAACACCTTATAGACGTCCATCGGTGGACGACTTATGGATGAGTAATTAAAATGTAACTAATAATGCTTTTAAACTTCTAAAAATAACGTATACTTCTATTTAAGGTTATATTGTCTTAATGTCTTTTTTTAATTTTTCGATAATATTCAAAATTTCTTGCTACTTCTTCTGGAAAAAATGTTGTAAAATGTAATGAAAGAAGTAATTTATAAAATACGCACACTAAACTGAACTTTAAGTTTGCTTATTTGCTGGAAAACAATGTTTGAACAAGATTATCCAAAATATTCATCTTTTTACACTCAACTTCAAATTTTTTTGCCGAAATCTTTGAAAAATCTGTATAAAAAATTGAATAGATAAAATAGAATTTTAGAAAAGTACAGAGTTGGATTTTTTATTTTGTATTAATTTTATTAATAACAAACTTTTTTATATCAAAACATTGAGTAATATGATTCATTGCTGGAAAATACCATCCCTTCCACTTCTTCTCCTTTGTTTTCTTGTTGAAGCTCGAAAATACAAACGGCCATAAAAAAATCAAGCTAACTTTTACACACCCAGCGAGGGTTTTGCTATTGAATAGGTATATTTTCAGAAAAAATAGTCCTAGATTCAACTGATAAAGCGTTACAAATTTTGCGTACTGTAAAAACTGATTTTATATCGCAGTATACTGCGATATAAAATATAAAAAACTATAGTTTTTGTTAAATCTATAGTTGTGTGTGAATTGCGCTTACATAAAGAAATGCGCAGTTGTTATAGTAAAATTTGTTCATTTTACTATAGCATATTTGTCTTTTTTAAATTACTATCGTTGTAATTCAAATTAATTTTATTTCAGTTTAAAAATCTTTGTTTATAGCTTACGTTAAGAACAATAACAAAAAAATGTTATTGCCATAAAAAGACTTTTTTAATATTTCCCTTAAAAAGAGGGGGAAAGGGCCAGCGCTCTCCTTGGTGAACATAACTTTATAATCCACAGTCTGTGTTATAATATTATTGATTTCACTTGTGCGATTGAAGTGTGGTAAAATCTATCATGATAAAAATATTAAAAAGATCACCAAGAAAATAAAAATGTCGACGTTTTCTAAAATAAATATTTAAGGTCTATTCTATAAACGAAGCGGAATTGTTAAGTGAGTTCATATTTTTTTTATTTGGTACATCATATAATATGAGTTAATTTTTTTGTTAAATAATTTGTTTTAATGTCTTGCAATTATTTAAAAAAAAACTACCCAACAGTCAACAGTAGGTTGAAAATGTGACCATTGTTACAATGAAAATAGTTTATTGAATTAACAATTAATTTGTTGTTAAATTTACATAAATTTTATTAATATTATAAAAAGTTTTATTTTAAACGAAAAGGGATTTGTAAAATTTACAAAATTTCTTTAAATAATACCATTAGGGTTTTATTAATATTACAAAACGTTTTTGTAAAGGGTATGGAAGTGTCTTTTTGGACAAATCATAATAACTATATTTTTCTACTCCCACCTTTAAAACGCCCTTTATCGTACATGTTTCCATGACACTAAGTGACCTTTTAAATACACATTGATAAGTTGTGGCTTTATAGCGCTTTAGTCACGGGCTGAAGTTAGCAACAGGTTTTTAGTCACGGGCTGAAGTTAGTTTTAAGTTAGTTGACAGTTGTCAAATGTCATAAAATCGTTAAAATAAAGTGCCTTTCTTGTAAAATAATACTAAATGTGAAAATTATTTTATTATCTCAATACAAAAATACAAAAATATTAAATAGTTTCTCAACGCCAATATTTGAAAAGTATATATGAACATTGTACTGACCTTTTAATTTCGCCGGCAGTAAACTATAACTTAAATTCGGGCACGGACTCTACTGTAGAGTCCTCATAAAACATTTCCTTTACTTTCACTGTGAAAAACTGTCAATTTTCAATATACATTTCGATTTATAACCTTTATTGTGTTTATAAAATGTAAAAATGTGACATTTGACAGTTTCCCCTGTTGTTTCATAGATGGCGTTCTATATACAGTATGTCTCAGTATCTTGGAATCATATGGAAAACTTTTTTATTATTAATTTTAGGAAAAAAAGTTATTCTTTATAAAAAGTTCTGCATGGTGTAAAACTTAAAATGCAACCCACAAATATTTTTTTTTTTTAGTCGTATACGGGGTATATCAAAAAATATGAATTTGGCGCAAGAGTAAAGTACCTTTATATTTGACAATATCGAAAATTGTTATAAAGAAAAGTTAATCAGAACTAAAAACTACGTTTAAATATGCAATTTCATACATTTACATTAAAAAATTAGGTTTTGTTAATTTTTCTATTTTAAATGAACATTTATCTGTTATGATTAGAAAAAACATGAAAACCTTAAGTTAAGTCAGGGGATCTAGCAGCCCAAAAAGTATTAGAATATCAACAAATCATTTGTTTATCAGTGCATCCTAGATTACATGTTACAGTTAAATTTGCATTGATATTGTAGACAAAAAAGAAAAAATATATTTTTTTAATGTAAATGGATGTAATTGCAGTTTTTAGTTCTGATTAACTTTTCTTTATAACAATTTTCGATATTGTCAAATATAAAGGTACTTTACTCTTGAGCCAAATTCATATTTTTTGACATACCCCGTATACGATTAAAAAAAAATAATATTTGTGGGTTGCATTTTAAGTTTTACACCATGCAGAACTTTTTATTAGGAATAACTTTTTTTCCTAAAATTAATAATAAAAAAGTTTTCCATATGATTCCAAGATACTGAGACATACTGTATATACAAATTTTTGATTTAAATCATTTTAAGATAATAATAAGTATTTGTCGTAGAAAAAGTATAGTATGCACCTCGTTTATAAACTTTTCTATACACTCATTAACTTAAGCACTAAGCCTAAATTAAATTCGTGTATAAAATGGCGTTTATCAAACTTGATACATAATATACTATTATCAATGCGTTTCTGCATCTGGAAGAGAGTTATTTTTATAAACATAACGTAAATTTACTTTATATATAATTATAATTAATGCATAAACTTGATATATATACTACTTTTCGTTTAAAAATATGGGTTATAAATTATGAGCCAAATAAATTAATAAATTTGCCTAAGCAAAATTACTATTTTAAAAACATTTTACTTTAAAAGTTTTTTACGAAAACCCTTTGGTTAAAGGTGTTTTATAACAAATTGCCATGATAAAATTACCAAAATTAAAAACTTTTTAAAATGATTTTTTCCGCCGATAAACCAAAGTGCGTCGGTTTTATTGAATGCGGTCGTTCTTGTTGACATTTTTACCAAACTGTGAAATCGCACATTAAGTTCATTTTTTGTGACTTTCGGTGGTTGTTTCTGCGGTTTTATTCGATTTTTTTTTTCATTCCGACGCTTGCTGTCTATTTTTTCGAAGCCAAAACCCACCAAATTAAGTTTCGCTTTGTTCAATTCGACGCACTCAAATTGTAACAAGCAGATACATCGCGTTGTGTTATTCGAGCTGGAAAGCATGGTAAACGTAAAAAGCGGCCGATATGTGTCGTTTGAAAAATAAATATGCGGTATTAAAACTGATCCATTACGCGCTGTAATTATTAATTTGCCGGCCCGAATGTAAACAATATGCAAATATAAAACCCGTGCGCGAATTATACGTCCAAAACAAACAAAATCAACACGAAAATCAGACGAAAATTTAACATGCGAAATTTATGCTCACGCAAGATTTTTATTTTATTCTCAGCTCTATTTACCTATTTTATGTAAAAAACAATATTTCAAAGAGTTTTAGAAACGTTGATTTATTTATATCAACTGATTTAGCATATCAGTGGAAAAAAGTTTTTTTACGACATGGCAACCTAGTAATTTGTTGTTTCATAAAATAAATTGGGTAATTATCTTTCAACGTTTATATTTTCCCTAAAAAAGTCGGTTTCGATACATTGACATTTTAAATTAGAAATAAAAGAATTAAAATGTCATAAAGATTTAT